GGGAACAGTGCGCCAGCGGGTGTAGCCTCAGCGGCGGCAGTGACTTTGGCGGCGACGCATTCAAGGGCAGCCTGCCTTGCGGCGCGTGCAATCTTGGCGGCAATGTATCCGGGCAAAGCGGTCAGCGACGTTATTCTCCAAACTGAATAATACAAAGGGAACATTGATATTACTTAGAAAAGTTTAGTAATAGCGGTTCTGAGCACATACTCGGGATCTTTGTAGGATGGGGGCAGTATGGTGTCTCGCAAATTTAATATTAAATTTTTTAAGGATGAATTAAATATGTCAACAAAAATAACATTAACTGTTGCTGTAGTATCAATGCTACTGACTGCATGCTCTGCATTCAACGGCGGTAGTGAACTATTGTCGGACAAGAAAAACAGTGATTCTTTTATTAATTCAAAAGTAATAGACGGAGAAACAAAAGTCTCTTCTTTATCCAGTATTATTGGGAAAAAAGATGAATCCCGGTCGGCTTTAAAGAAAACATTCCCAGATGGTAAGCTTTCGGTTGCTTCATATACAGGTTTTTTGAACGGCATCACCGGAACTTATGCACATAGAGTTCTTTCAGTTGTCTATGGTCCTGATAATGTTGTCATTAATCATGGTATCTTTATAAAAGATTTGCATAATTCTAATAAATATAATCTTGATTATATTAGTGCTCGTAATTTGGCATTTACAGAATTAGAGAAAGGTAGTGATAAAACAAAAGTCATCAATTTATTAGGTAATCCTGATGGTGTGACGTTCACAGATGATGGTCACCTTCTGCTTATCTATTCTAAAACAGATATTTCAAGAGATGCCTCATCTTATATTCCTGTGGTTAACATGATAAGCGGGACAGAGTCTGGCGTATCTGAAAGACTCTATATTGAGATGAGTAAAAATGGAAAAGTGGAAAATGTTATTTCAGCTACTGTGCAAATTGTTCAGGGAAGAGGTATAGGTAATGCAGATAGTTATATTGAGAAATACGAAAACATTCAAACTAAGTTCTAAATGGTGTGTCAACATCAAGTCGCAATAATAGTTGCTAATAGATAATGGAGATTTAATCTTTCTTCATGAATTGAAATTCCTTATAGCCCAGTGAAGTATTGACTGGGCTTCTCAGCATTAGCCCGATATTTGACAAAGAGAAGAAGTTGACGCATCAGCGATATCGGCGAGTAGATGGCAAACATCGCCAGAACGTAGACCATAAAATTCCTAAAATCTGTAATTTGCAAGCGTCATCACTTGATCTTTCTCCATCCTGCTCTTGCTTATTTATTTTCCATGTTAAAATGCAAAGAAAAAACATTGTTAAAGGATAGACGATAAATATGAAGCTTTTCCTGTTTTGCGAAGGTACTGGTTTCAGTAAAAAGGATTGTCCTTTGTGGGCTGATATCTGTGATGCGCTTCATAAGCTCAGGACTCATACTGGAAGCGTAAATATTAAATATTTTGATAATCAAAAAACGCTCAGCATTCATTCAGATGGTATTCATTTCTTACTTTCATTAATTGAATGTATGGACGATTAAATAAAAATAAAAAATATCCAAAATGCCTGTTTTTCAAGGGTGGAGAGTCCTGTATTACCTGTTTCCTGGAGTCGCTCTCATGAAGTGACAAATGATTTCGATTTTGTCACTGAGGTGACCAGAACATTTTTCATTACGGGGCAGGCTTAGTGTTTTCTGCATAGAAAACAACTCGGTTATATCAGGTTTTCTAATCCTGTGTGTATGACTTCACTGCATTATTAATAATGCACAGTAGGTGATAGTCATGTATTAATTTATACGGTAAAACTGCATTATCTCACCATCCTCAAAAATGCCGACGGGCTGTGCATTAAACCCCGCTTCCCTGTGCTCAGGGGGCTCGGCAATGGGCTTCCACAACCAATACTCAAGAACGCCATGGCGGGTGAACTGAACAAAGGTTACCGGAAAATACCACGCTGGATGTGACGGAACTGGGAACGGTTCAGAACAATGGCGCGATTGTCCTGCTGCGTTTTCCCCAACCAATAAATAATTGAAAGTAAAAAGATCGGGATAAAAATCGAGACAAATCCCTACGTAAAATTACCAGGTAAAACGCGTATTCATCCTAATAGTTTGCCCTTTCGGGACTGCCTATGATTCGTCTCACTGAGTGTGTTTTCCTGGCATCGGCGAACGAGGGTTCGACGAGCGGAATAATTTTTCAACGGAGTGTAGATGAATATGAAAGCTATTTTAGCCGCCCTGCCGATCGCAATGATTCCGGCCACTGTTCTGGCAGCAAATACCGAGGAAGGGTATTACGGTTCGGCAAAATATCTGCAGGTTGAACAGCGTGCGAAAGAGATGGATACCAGCGCGCGCCCGGGTGTCGGGCAGTTTGTGGGTGGTAAAGAGAAGGAGCACTTCGGCGGTGCGGCGATTGCAGCGGGCTACCAGTTTGGTAACG